TAATGCTGATGTATATTTGTAAATTGTAAAATTTGTGTTATTGTAAAAACATAACATTTATTTTATTTTTGATCAAAAATATTTTGACAAAAATTATTAATAACGAATTATTTATGATTCTTTTGATGAAATAAATGTTTTTGACCAACTATTCTAAATTCCAAATAAGTATAGAGCACTATAGTTTTTATTTGATTTTATAAATTAAAAATTATCTTATTATTCTTGATATCAACCTTATTAAACACCAAACTTAAAGTGATTCAACTTCATTAAAATTCGTTGCAATAAAAACTGACTTTTATAATATTACAAACATTAAAAAATATTATTATATGTGCCTATATCGTTAACGATTGATTTTTCGAAAAAATTAATTACACGTAGACCGTAGACAGTATTATAATATACGATTAATTAAATACTAAATACCTATGTTAGCTAGAAAATCATGCAAAAACTACTCGTAATTCAAAAATCAGTTACAAAAAAAAAAAAAAAAAAACACACACAGTAAAAACTCTTTTATCTGCGAACAACAAATATCATGCCTTACGTAACTTGATCTTAAACACTACCTATAAAAAATTAACAAAAAATAAAATACGGATGGTTTTTTTCATTTTTTGCCAAAGGTTTTTGTTTATAATGTTATATAATAAAAGTGTGTCTCAATGCCGTTCCGAAGGGGGTCTTGAGGGTATCTCTTCCACACCGCAAACGAAATCATCATTTAGCACTTGATAATCGGAATCGTTTAATTACATACCTAAATTAACTTTATAAATTTTTATCTATTCTCCTCGATATAACACACTACAGTTTTTATTTACAAAAAATAAATATATAGTAGTATACAAATGTTATTATTGTACGTAATAAAGTATTTTTGATATAAATTATCGAGATGACACACTGATTAATATTATATTCAGTTGCACTTAATAGGAGGTGTTTCTGGTTATTGGGTTTATTTTGCGCTAAGCTTGATCCAAAAATAAACTTAAATTATTCGATTTGTTAGGCCAATATCATGTCATCACGATATTGTCACATACATTCATACATCGTAATATCTACAAAGTATTTTTATATACCACTATATAGTACCATCATTAATTTCTTTAATCAATAATTTAAACATCTGAACTATTAAACAGCAATTATCAATTTAAGTTTTTTAACATATTTCAATATGGTACATGTTTTCATCAGTTTTTTTTTTTTTTTGTAAGAGAAACAACTAAAGAGTGAACTTTTATTACATTTATTTACATTTTTTAAATGCATTAAACTACCAAGTTATAAAAAATTAAAATGCCTAGTATAGAAAAACGTTAACGTAATCGAATTAAAATTAAATGCCTCGAATATAGTTTCCATGGAAATGCAAAGAAATTAAATACATTTTGCCATTAACAAAAACAGTTTGTGGATCAACTACTCCAGTCAGTGTTGAAACTAATTAAAGATCTTTTAATAAAATAAACACTTAATCTACTACCAATGATTTCAGATTAGATTCGTTAATGATACCTACTAATTATTTAAAAAGATTTTGTAGATGATATTGATTTAAATAATGTTGTAAATCATTGGGTGGCATTAAAAAACTGAAGAATACAATTATAACCAATATTGATTAAAAAAATTTAACTCGTGTTTTAAAATAGTCGTTGTTTTTTTTTCAAAAATGTAGATTTAAAAATAAATGTGTATTTATAATTATGAAATTTGTTGATATAATTATAAAGTACCAATATTAGTATTAAAAAATTTCAAGAGTTTTAGAAATATTTTAAAGTACGTAGTAATGTAATATTAGTTATAAGTACCCATCTAACGATTATTAATTATGAACATTTTATATTTAAATAATATTTAAGGATGAGCATTTTAAAATAATTTATTTTTTTGGAAATTGAGAATACATTTTAAACTGGTATCACGGTACTTTTTCATACTTAAATGTTTTCGGTTTTAAAATGATCGAATAAACTAAATTTAAAATAGGTACTAATTTCAATATTAAACTATAAAATTGTATTTGAGGTAAGGCTGGTGGTTCTGATTTTGGTACAAACATAAAAATGACGACGTTCAGTAGAAAGGTTAACCTAATAGGTTAATTTAACTCAACTGTCAGTACTTTTCATGCTTTATAATACCTCCGTGATTTTTATCTTCGGGGTGATGCTGGTCTGTCTGTCTATGATACTTTAGTGATACTTAATAATTGTTGCATATCGAGAGGTGTATTTCAGGAAAGGTACAAAATGTGCACTCTCAATTTTTTGTACTTATATACATTATTTTGCCATTCATATTAAGTATATGCTCTCTTCCTCCTCCCACGAGTGTATAGTGTGTTAGTATTGGCTTAATAGTTCCTATAGTTTAATAATAACTTGAGTGTCTGTGCAGTTACAAATTTATTTAAACAGGAACATGTGCAGTGGTGTAGCGTGAGACTTAGTGATTCAAACACAAAAATTAAATAATTAAATCTTCATGCTTAAAGCTAGTTAAAAAATATAAATTGATGATAATAATTATTTAACTACCTGAGTCCATCCAGTATAAAATTACTCGTTATACAATATATAATGGATATTTATTTAGAATTAACTATACTGTCTTAATAATTATATAGATACATATAATAATAATATGTATGTATGTAATTTATAAAAATCTAAATTTTCTTTTAAATCTTGTTAAAACGAATTTTGTTGATTTATGTATTTGATATGATTAATTTTGGTGTAACGAACTTTTGATATATGAAACTTTTTGTTCTGTCCTTTGAAATTCGTTGTATCGAGAGTTCAATGTACGAGTATATATGGAAAAAAAATGTTGATGATATGCAACACTCGATAATTTTTATTATTTCCTTCTCGGAGCTTAATATTGTTTTTGGTGTAACGATAAATTTATACGATATGATATAGAATTAATCGTCTTCAGCAAAAGTTAGAAAAAATGTTAACACCTAATTATTACCTGCGAGAGCGATTTAATGTCTTATGAGATAATAAAAATACAATCGTAGACAATTTTTATATCGGAGTCTAAAAAATTTTAATCATCGTACGCGAGAGACGTAGTGTAAGTTACGGACCCCAAACTTTGACATACCTCTGACGATGGGCGGCGAGGCTGGAAGACCCGTCCTATAAACACGCCACAGAGCATGTGTAGGTCTATCAGCACATAACTATGAAAATATTTTGGGGACATACATCGCGGATATATTATGCGTACGCTTTTGACTCGCGCCTAATAGAAGTTTCTAAGTACGCCCCTAAGTTTCTAAAGTAATAGCCGTAGGCCCAGTACCGGATTAAGAGAATTGGCGCTCCTAGGCCCGTATAAAATAACGCTCTTAAAAATAAATTGTTGTTTATCAACAAGTATCAAAAACATTTTTCCCTAATATACTTATAAAAAATGTCTTAAAGTTATAACTTGTACACACAGTTTATTTTTTAAACATAATTTAGTTAAATTAATAATTATGTGAAATTCAGAAAAACAATTGTAATTATATATTTATAATTTTATTTTAAAAAAATGTGCGTATTTTATAACAATTTATTATTATTTATTTTATCTTTTCGCATATAATCAAAGATAAAGAAGGCAAGAAAAGTATGTAAGTAAAAAAAAAAAAAAAAAATTTAATATTCACACTTAAAGTTTGAAAATTAAGTACAGTTTTCTACATAATTTACCATTAAAAGTTATTAACAATTTTATAACAGTAATACATTTGTATAGAAAATGTTTTATTTAACCTATTACCCAGTGACATCATATAAGAATAAATTTAAAAATAACTATTTTGTAAATCAGTTAATTTGATTCATTAACTTTTCTACATTTGAATATAACTAAAATATCAAATCAATATTTAACGGTTTTTTTTAATAATATAATAATAATGTTAAAAAAGCATAAATATATAAATAGTAAAATAACCACTTAGTATAAATATCTAAAAGTGCAAAATCTTTAACCAAACCTAAATCAAACAAAACATTCAAAATTTCAAAGCAATAATTTTACAGCATTTAGCTTTTCGATTGTTTAATTCTAATGCATTATTACATTCTACAATAATTGTAAAGTAAATATAAGAAATAGTTATACTTACTTTAAAAATGAAATATATATATGTGTGTGTATTACGAGTACATAGGTATATGTAAATAAATTCAGAAAATTGAAAACACGAACACGTCGAGTCGAGTTCAAACGCTAGAAAACGAAATTGCAGATTTGCTGAACAAAAAACTCGTTCTTTATCAACAATAATACAGATTGATAGCAAAGATGTCTTCAATCAATTATTTTTAGAACTACTCCAAGGGATCATAAATTTCGTATTTTTGCCACTTGTGCTGGACGTCGTAGACAGCGCCCTTTATGTGATCTGAAATCAAGGCGCCCCTAGGCCCGGGCCTACTTGGCCTATACGTTAACCCGCCACTAAATTTGTAACTGTTCGCATAAAACGTGTACAACTGTCATTTAGGTATAGGTATAGAGATGTACCCATCTATGTATGTACGTACGACGCGCGCAATGTAATTCGTCGTCTTAGAATCGACGTTTTCCTGCGCCGATACGGTGAAAACGCGCTGTACGGCGTCTCGTCTGTTGGCGGAGAGACGGAGAGACCTACTGCCGGAATTATGGTACGCGAGTAAAAAATATCGTAGGAATAAAAAAAAAAAATCGGTAAACGGAAAACGAATCCTCCCGGAACGTGTTGGGTAGGTTTATCGCGGGCGGCGGCGACGGCGGCTATTGCGCATTTTCTGATACCCAATCTAACGCCGCGTCGCGGTCGTACGCGCGCGCGCGCGCGAGCGAGCGATTCTCTCCCGCGTGAGCTACTTCCGAGAAACTGGTCACGTCCGGACCGGGTTGCCCGACGGCGGCGGTGGCTGCGGCGGCGGTGGCGGTGCTTCTATAAAGTCACCGGACATCCATTCACGTACATTCATTGCACTGCTCATCGTCGGTGACCGCGGCCGGAACACGCATCGCAGTTTCACGCAACACACGCTCACACACCGCAAACACGCGCACACACACACGCCGTTCGACGACGATGGTCAAGTACGCAACAGCGTTGGTGTTGGCGTTCGCCGCAGCCACCGCTCTCGCAACGGAACAGACGACGGTCGAGTCCAATGAACAGCACCGGAACAACGCCGCCGCCGCCGACGATGGCCTGACCTGGACCGAAGTGATCACGTGCTACAAGAAGCCGCAAGCGGCCATCGGGTGCCTGGAGTCTCGCATGAGCCGCGCCATGGCGTCGATGCGCGACACGGCCGTAAATCTGGCCCACAACGACCCGGAGACCGCGCCCGAAGACGTCGCCGGCGTCGGCGATCTCGTCCAGCAGATCGGCGAGTTCATCACGTAC